AGAGAGAGAGGAGAGAGAGAGAGAGAGGAGAGAGAGAGATCAACAATCAAACAAAAAAAAAATCGATGGTTACTATAGGAGGAGTATCTATAATATATATATATATATATATAGCACCCGTACCCGTTATACTATATATATACACTACTGACCTCAATATATTCAAATAGGTATACCGGAGCCTATGGAACAGGGCTCTCAATGAGGTGGCATTCCATTTATAGCCGGCACCGTTCATCTCTTTTTCAATCCGAGACCAGATCTGATTTTTTTTCTCCACTTCAAAATATTTCATATATTTCTTAACCAAATTCAATAGCGCAACATATAGTTCACTAACATCCTGGTTGGCACTGTTTTTCATGACCGGATGCGATGCCCCGGAGCCCAGTTTGGCCGGTTGTGGTGCACGTTGTCTAACCATTGTTGTTGTTGTTGCCGCCGACGACTTGTTGTTGTTGTTGTGGCCATTAGATGTACCGCCGTTTTTACGATTGTTACGCTGCGATTGTTGCTGTTGTTGTTGGTGTTGTTGGTGGTGATGTTGATGACGATGATGTTTGCCGACTACTACCGCAGTAGCCGTAGCCGCTGCCGGACGTAGCGATTGTTGTTGTTTTTTGCCGACACCCGACTGGGCTCTGGTCTGTATAATACCGGCAATCATTGCCGGTTTCGATGGCTGTCTACTACTACCGCCGTTAGCAGCCGTCGCGGAAACAGTGGTCGACGTCGATCGGCGATTAGTGGCCGTCGTCGTCGCCGCAGGAGTTGTCGGCGTTGATGATAGACGTTGTTGTTGCTGTTGTTTGTAAGGTGTCGGCGGTTTGTCGCCAAATATTGTCCGCATTAGCTCATAGTATGGCCATCGGGTTTCGTCTTTTACCGAACACAGTATACTTTTGTAGGCGTTTCTCAATATTGACAACTTTTTCAGACACTGACTGCCGTCTAACCGATGCTGACGTCCTAAACCTAAGAGAGAGAGAGAGAGAGAGAGAGAGAGAGAATTGATGGGTTAGTTCCGAGTCCCTGATGTAGGTATGATATGACAACCACTTTCACCCCTCCCCCTCCCCGTAGAAAACCTACCTGTAGTGGTGTTAAGCTCAGTGGCCAACTGATGCCAAACACTGGCCGAAACATCCGATAGTTGGGCTTTCATTGTCAAGACTTTGGTGTGCGCTTTGCACAGCTCTAGCAGAGTGACCACCTGTTGCTGAGACCAATCGTAATCGTCGCCGTTATCCTCATCGTTATCATCATCATCATCGGGGGCGGCGGTAGCTGCTGCTGCTGGTGGGTTGGCCAACAATAGTCTACCGGTGCCGATAGTAGTAGTACTGGTCCTCTGATTGGATATGTTGTTAACAACAGTAGCTGTCGTCGTCGGCTGTTTAGGTGGTGTCGCCTCCGATGATGTAAATAACTTTTTTGTCGCTTTTGTCACTACTAGTGACTGTTGCTGACCATCCGGTGCTGACGACTCTGATTTGACTACAGGTGCGGCTCTTGTTCTCAATGATGTCGATGATAATGGTTTAGTAGTATTATTGGTGAATGATTTGGTGGGTGCTATGACTGTCGTATTATTATTAGTATTATTATTGATCGGAGCTGTAGGCGATGATCCTAATGATGGCGCCGATAGTAGTAGTAGTGGTGGTGATAGTGGTGCTGATGGTAATGATGTCAATGATGTCGATGATGTGGTAGTGGATGAGCTCAACAGATGATAATTATGATGCTCTTGACTGGCGTTTAATGACTGGTATATATGATACATATATATCAATATATATATGAATAGATAGATAAAGAAAAAAATATATATTAATTAATTAATTTATGTTTTTTTAAATAAAAATAATTAATTTAATTAATTATTAAATAAAATTATAAATTAATAAATTAAAATTAAAAAAAATAATAGCAAACAATATACAATAAAATATATTAAAAATTTTATTTTAATTAATTAATTCAATTAATTAACGGGTAATTTATATATCAATATATATTAGCTATAAATCTAACGGTTCCTAATCCGGACACATACTATAATATCCATTGAGACTAAACTAATCCTTAATCCATGTAATTATTATTACAATTAAATCAATTAAATTATCGGTAAATTAAACAAAAAAAACTGATTTAAATACTAACAGATTTAAGAAACGAGTTCTGGTCAGTAGTCTTGACGACACTATTATTACCGATAGGCTTAATGTCATTATCGGTATTATCGGTATTATTAGTGTCTACTAAAGGACTGGTAGTAGTAGTAGTAGTGATGGGAGAGGAGGAGGAAGAGGAAGTGATAGTAGAGGAAGTGGTAGTAGTGATTGCACTGTCCGACTGTTTCTGGTGTGTCTTATTATTACGATTGCTATCATCATCACTGTTAAGACGTGATAGAGAGGAGGAGGAGGAGGAGGTGAAGGAGGTGTTGGTAGTGATAGTCGGGGAGGAAGTGGTGGACATAAGCTGTTGCTGT